TAATATGTTCTATAAAAATCTGAAATATCAGCTTCATTAAAACAATCAAAATTTTTTTAAAATACTTCATCCTCAAATATTCCTTCTCCTAACATTTCCACTTAGATCTATTAGTAGCAAGTTTTATAGCTTCTCAATTTATAACTTCTCAAAAATTCTGAGTATAATTCATTACAACAACATATTAATATTATAGAAGTCTTAAAGCGTACTCTATCTTTCCATACCAGTAATTAGTTATGTTTGTTGTATATTTAGAAGACAAATTAATCAACACTTGAGTGTCCAATATGTCCCACTATCATATACTACATTCTTTTATCTCTTTCAATTATCTGAACAATTCTATGAAATAGGTATCATCTATATTTTATAGGTAGGTTTTAGAAAGTTGGATTAGCCCCGTTAAATCTAGAAGAATGTTAAGCTCTGTGAGGGCAGAGGCTATGTCTGTTTTGCCCATCATTGTGTCCCCATCTCATCACTGTGTAAAAACTGCTCAATAAATACTGATTACTGAATGAAGAATGGGTACAGTAGGATTCAAATCAAACTCTGACTTTAAAACCTAAGAGGCTAGTTACCTTCATTGTTTAACGAAAAACTGACTTGCTCTGAACATCTACGTTTGCTGTTAGGTTCAGCATTACTTCTCTGAGAGTTATGTTCCTGAAAAACATGACGGAAGGAGAAACTGTGGCTAAAACCTTTTAAGACCTCCTGGGAAAAACAGAATAAGAGGAACTTTAGATCATGCAAAAGAACCCAAAAAGTCCTTTTAAATATTTTTTAGTTTAAAATTAAAAACTAAATATAACATTCTAAAGAAAGATTATCAATTGAATTTCATGTATCTTAGGTCAGTAATTACTACTAGAAAGTGAGTTTTTAACTATCCCTTGTTTGAAATAAAATTTGGTTACTTACTAACATCAGTCACTGTTCAAGAACATTATAGATGAAGAAACTGAGGTAGGAGGAATTTAAGTATTTTTTCCAAAGTAACATAGCAAGTGGAGAGTTGAGATGTAAACATAGACAATTTAACTACAGCCTTGTTTCCAATCCGTTTCACTACGCCTGCTTTCCTCCAAAATGTCTAATCTCCCTTCTCGTATCAACTAATGCCTATAACATTTCTTTTGCCTTATTTCAGACCACATGAATAGCAACAAAAGGTTTTGTGTTTTTCTGGGTCCGGTCTTATTATCATTGTATTTTTGCTTTTCTAATTGTACAACTAAAAACTTCCAATTGTCAACTAAAGCAACAGTTGGGAGCACCTAAGCAATTTGCATCTAGGAATAAGCAAGGCAGGTTAAAATAAATGTGTACACTACAAGTCTTGAGTAGGTAAAACCTGCCACCCAGTCAATCTTCACTAACATCAATTTAACATTTTCTAACCACACAGGACAATTCCCACTCTTAAGGTACAATCTTTCCCAGTTTTTCAATAAAGTCCAAGAACAAGAATATACTATGCTACCTACAGTATACCAAAAAAGTGGCAGATTCTCAGAACCATAATTAACTCATGCTGCTTCTGATGCAAGCTGTATTTGCTCCTAATGATGGTAAGTTTTCTTCCTCTAAAAGAGTTTTTCAGTCTCCAGATTCAATGATATTCCAAAATAAGAGTAAACATATTCTTGTCACGCTCTTGCTAGCTGAAACTCCCGTTATTTCCTTTCAAAAGAAAAGTACAGGTTTTTCTCATATTGCAAACTGAAAGTATGCATATATATCTTCATATAAGAAAGACTCTTACACACACACACACTCTCCCCTTAAAAGTAGAGCAAGTTAAATAAGCCTTAGATGGCTAGGTAAGTGGTAGAATGCAGTCTGGTTTAAGGAGAGGTAAAATTGTGTCCATAGATGTTTGACTTAAATAATTTAACACTCAACCCAATGGGCAGAATTGATTCGATGTGGATTTTTTCTAAAGACAGCTGAAAACAAAAAATAAACTGCTCTACAAAGTCAAAAACAGATATCCTGCAGTTTGTGTATTTTAAGGATTAGGGCTCATGCACCTCTGTTTTACAGAAAGTACTAACTAGCTCAGCTGTGATTTACTTGTTCATTTTTATCATGAAACAATCATTTACACAGCAAGGAAAACCCAGAGTGAGAGGCAGAGTTGTGCAGAAAAATAATTATTATACCATAAAGGTAGGTAATAAATTTGAAACAACAGAACGCTATGGGGGTCTGAGGGAACGGGGAGAAAAAGTGGTTTTCAAAGAAGATACCACAAAAGAGCAAATGTCTCTTAAGACTGTATTCTTACGTGAAGAAAATGGTTATTTTCATTGTACTGTACTTATTGTACTTACACCTTCACAGCTTGCTAACTTCCAGTCACATGCATTTTTCTACCACTTAGCTAAGTACTGTTATGAACAAAGTCTTAGAAAAGTTAAATACCTTACCTATAGCTACACAGCTAATCAGTGACAACGGTGAGACGTGAACCCAAATAAGCTGTCTTCTAAGTCTATGGTCTTAATACAACATTTGGAGAGGCAATACAAAAGGGATTCTGCTTATCCTAAGAAGAATATGGACAAGGCATAACTATGTCATAAAGAACACTTGCCCAGGATTCAGAAACACAGACTCTAGTCTAGGATTTGCCACCCTGATTATAGTTTAGTTTGCTTTACCTCTCTGGATTGAAATTTTCCCACCTATCTAGAATGATAGGGTTAGACTACATCACTAAGATGCCACCTTACTAAACTGTGAAGGCAAAAGTTTAATACAAATACAGAATAGCAACCTAAACAGAGAGAAGGGAATTCACATTTATGCCAGGAGCTGCATAAAACGTATGGTACACACATTATCTCAAGCCCACACCAAACTTGGCAAGGAAGGTATTAGCACCATGATAAATGAGGAAACGGAAGCTCAAAGAGGTGAGATAAATTGCCTATATTCACACTAGCAGTATGTGACAAAACTGAAGCTTGAATCGAGGCCTACACGGTAGGCTCTTTATTCGATATTGCCTCCTGAAGTAAATCATATTTAGAATTTTCATCACCTTTCTACCTCTGAAAAGCTAGGATATTCCCGAACCCATTTCGTACAATCAGTCAAAATACTATGGAGCAAGGATTAAGTCTTATGAAGACGAACAGACCAATGCTTATTCCCCTTCCTCTATTTGTAATGAAATAGGGGCGGAAATAGCCTAACTAGTTTATGAAGACGGGTCACCGAGTACCTCTTTTCAAGACATCATCTCTTATGTGCGTACATTCGCAATAAAATGACCTGTAATTCAATAAATGTCCAAAAATGTACTCAGCATTAGATATACAACATGAAGAAAAACTTCAGTGCCATTTTTATGACTCACTGAGTTATCCAACAAACTGTGTTAGTCCAGAAATCAGTTTGTATTGCACTGAATCATAAGACTCTTCCACAGTTAGCATAGGTATGAAGAGCAGTCTACTTCTTTTCATTCCTTTCATACAGTAATACCTCTAATGCAATTCAATGTTACTGACAATTATTTTCTAACAGTACAAGATAACTATACTTGCACTCTGAATATAAGTGCCATAAAAAAGAAAAAAGTTAGACTGGTCCTGTTACTTCATGGATTATAAAAAAAAACTTCATCATTTTACTTAATAAACATGACAGGGTTCTGCATTGGTAATTAATAGTAGCCAAGGGTTTATGGTACACCAAGCAGTATGCTTCATCTTTTAGAGAAACTATCTCATTTGTTCTTCATAAGCATTCAGTAAGTCTATGTAATACCTCCGAGGTTGTAAATAATCTCCTCAGATTACAGGTGGAGAAAGTGAAACATGAAAACAATAGAAAGTAGGGGAGCCAGAAATGAAAATCAGGCAGCTGACTCCAGAGCCGCCATAACTCTTAGAAACTATGCTTTGGTGACTTAGAGTATGTATTACCCCTATTTCAGAGATAAGGAAAATGAGGAAGTTTAGCCTTTCCCCATTGTCAAGTAAGTGGAAAAATCAGCATTCATATACTGGTGTTCTGACCTAATCCAGTGTCATTTCCCATTATGTTATGCTGCCTCTTTAATATTAAAACCTTCTATTTGCGTAAGCCGTCTCGCTTACAAACAGTATCACATTAAAATTGTGTAAATATCCTGTAAATGATGCACTGTTCTCAATTTACAGATGATGGAATGATCACAAGATTGGGCAATTAGATATGGCGTTTTTAGAGAAATGAAATTGTGCCTTGAGATCTTGCTCAATCCAATTTGAAATTCCAATCTAAAAACCAAAATGCCTTCTATACTTAAGGAGCAAGGGTTAATTTCAATCCTGGTACGTTTGTCTTTGATTACCTTAGCAAATTTCCATTACGTCTTGGAGCAACTGATGGTTTGATCGGTATTAAGAGTTTTCGTGGGGATTTTATCTCGCTTTCGAGTATTGGGGTTTCTTGTGTGTAGAGGGTGTTAGTCTACCTTGCACGTAGTACTAATTACTCAACAAATAGCCGAAGGCTGGAATGAATACCGTACACAGGTTAGACACTGGAGAAACGACGAATAGCTGTTAGCCCTCGATCAAGTGCAGGACGTCGATATTCACGACTCAGATGCCCCAGGGAGTGCCGTCCTAGCCAACGTCCCCCTTTTCTTTCCGATAATTTGTATCGGAAAGAAGCATTTGGCAGTCCCAACGAATGAAAAAAAAACTCAAGGCGCCCCAGTAAGAAAAGGAGGAATTAGAGAAGTGAATGACCAAGAAGGGCCTGGACAGCTGGGGGAGAGGGTGACGGGGGAAGGGGTGTGGACAGCTGGGTGTGGGGGTGACTGGGGAAAGGGATGCCCAGGAGTGGGCCGCTCCCTAGTCAAAGGAGGAGGCGCGGGAGGGAGTAAGAGAAAAATGACGTGTCTCTTCGGAGCAGCAACAGCAACGGAGGTTGGCCGCGGCATTGCCCGCATCCCTATCCTCCACCGGGCCCTGGCGAGTCACTCACCCAGAAGCCAGGCTACGTAGGGCCGCCCCCAAGGCCGCCGAGTTTCGATTCCTTAGTGTTTGGAAACGGACCGAAAACAAACCGGGTCGCCAGGGGTCACCACGGGCTTCCGGTTTCTTCGAAGACACCGCCGCTTCCACAGCGAAGGGAGTTGCACCGGGTGCGCCGCGGAGGGAGTCCCATTTCTTCTGACTCGGCAGGAGCCCTGGATGTTCTGGAAGGAGGGACAAGCCGAGGCTGGAGGGGCTGGGCCGACGCGGAGAAGGCCCGTTACCCAGCAATACGCGCGCCAGACCCAGGCCCGCCGTCGGGACCAGCACGGGCCGGTGGGAGAGGAAGCACTGCGGGAAAGGACTCGATGTGTGGCTCAGGTCTCGGCCGGAAAAGGGGCCGTCGCCGTCCACGGGCTCGGCGCCAGGGCCGCGCGAGGAAACCGGAAGTCAGGCCCGAGCGAGCTGGGAGGGCGTAGGGAAGCCAGGTTCGGTCGTGGGGGTGTGGGGAAGTGCAGGAGTGGCGCGCGGTGTACTACATGTCCCGTGAGCCTCCGCAGCGGGACGGGGCGTGGCCGCGCGACGCCAAGAGGCGGAGGCGGAGTGGAGTTAGGTAAGAGCGTTGGAGGCGGAGTGGAGTTAGGTAAGAGCGTTAGCAGCCGCCTTACCAGTTGGGCCAAGGGCCCCTTTCAGGGGCGCCCTCTAGTGCGTCTTTTTCACACAGCGGCCTTTTGGGGGTCCCCGGGCCGTGTGGTGCGTGCTGGCTCGGCTCAGTAGCGCCCTTACAGGTTTAGGAGCTGAAGTGGCTGGGAACTGGGAAGTCTGTTAGAAGCAGTTTACCCCTCTGTAGCCTCTGTTTTCTAAGCTCGTTGCAAGCCCTCAGGCGATCACTTGAGGCACAAACTCGACGAATTGCGTAGGGGTCTATAGTTATCCACAGACGACAGCGCGGCTCCAGCAGATTGCTCAGTTTATGAAATGAGAGACAGGGAGAAGATGCCAAAGTATTGGAGTTGTGCCCGGCTTCCCTGGAGTTGCCACCACCTTGCTTATTTCTAGATGATAGGCAGTCCCTAGCCGTGGAATCACGAGTAGTTGAATTAATTACAATCCTTGAAGGTCGCAGCCAGATGGAACCCCTGTAGCTCTAAGGTATTATTGGTTAAATAAACAAATAAACAAGGACCAATAATTATAGGAAATTTAACTTCACGAACCGCCAATTAGCAATACGGACATTCCTCACCACCCCGTTAAAGTAGTATTTTGTCATCTACCGGCTTAACTATCAGCCCAACTGTCAGCCCAATAGGATGGATTTCAGTCAAGGGTTTACATGAAAATTGGTTTTTTTTATTGTTATTGAGCCTCTTTTTTTTGGTTTAGATTTAAGTGAAAATTTATAGCTGTTAGGAACAAAGACTACAAGTTGAAGTTTTATATTTTCAAAAATACTTAGAAATGTGTATTAATGTTATCGTTGAGAAAGGAAACGATTTGCTTCAATTTACTGGGCTGGAGAATGGAAGAGAGCAGTGTTTTTAATATTTTGAGCAAGTATCAGTCCTTAATTTTTTTTTATTACTTCCTTGATGCATTTTGAGAATTTTCAATTTAAAAACAACAGTTAGGTGGTGTGTTTTTACAGGTAGAGTTTTGAAGAATGCTAGCAAAATTGGTTGAGGCATCACAAGTCATCAGACATATAGTAATCTGGTTTTTAATTTGAAGGTGTAGAAATATTTTTGAATCTTCGTTCACAGTTTAAGATAATTTAAGAATTGTTGAAAAGGCAGGGGAAATCATTTTTATCTTTTCTTTCTGGGTAAGTAAAGAGAAAATGTCATAAATCAGTATTTTGAAGTTTATCTGTTGAGGGAGTCAATTTTTGTTTCCTAGTGCACACTACACAGTGAGTTTATTAACAAACATATAATGGGTTTGTTAACAAATGTATTTGCTTAACCAGGATATATAAACTTTATTATTTCAGTCAAGTAAAACATCTTGATTTTTCTTTTTGGGTTGTGAAACCCCTGCTAGATTATGACAAAATATAATCCATATAGTTATTGGATTTAGCTGCAAATGGTCACTTTCTACCCTGCATCTGCTTCAATTAATTTTAGCAAATAAATTATTAGAGAAAACTTGTTACACAGTTCAGATATAATCATGTATTAAAGGTTTATTATCAGGGAAAGGCCTCTGATAATTAAAAGATACAGTCTTGATAAGGACATTTTATAGGAAAAGAGAATGGTTAGATAATTGTTAAGCTCCAAGAAAGAAAAGAATTTAAGGGTCCTAAATGATAATCTTGACCGATAGCCAACTAGTTCAGTGAGTGGTTGGTTTACCAGAGCATCTTGATTCCATTGAAATGTATTGGAACTTTGTTTAGGGATTTTTTTCAGAAATTTTCCTATTTTCCCAAGAGGGAGTTGTGAATTACATCATCTAAAAAGCTGTCTCCAAGGCCAAGTTTGGGACAGTTTCTTTTCTTTTAAACCATTACATTTTTTGTAGCTACAAACTCAAATCTGAATATTTCAAAACAAGTCACTGCTGTAAAAAGATATGTATTTTTTTCAGAATGGCTGTTTTGGACTGAACTGAACACTCTTGACACCAGGCACTTTAAAAATTGTCCTGTCTATATGTTGTCGCTCATTAAAAAAAAAAAAAAAAAAAAAAAGAAAGAAGGATAAGCTTCTTCTCCACTTTTTTCCACCCCCCCACCAACTCCAAGATCCAGATGTTCTCCATCAGGGACAGGGCTCCTGAAGCACATGATACTGGCCGAGACTGGGTTCCCTTTTTCACTGGATTAGATTGGATTTCAGAGCAGTATCTTAACAAAGAATATGGGCCCTAGCACAACTTCTGACTGTGGCTTAGCCTTTTATTTATTTTTAGGTAATAAGGTGCATTTTTAGAGCTTCAAATCTTAGGCAACGTGTAAAAATAATGAAAAACCTTTTTTTTTTTTTTCTTAAATGAAGACTGGGTCTATATCTGAGCTGTGAAGAATACAGTTAAAAAGAAACAGTAAGTGCAATTTTTAAGAAAAATTTTTAAGTGAATTTCTGATTAGTGATTTAAATTGTGTATTTAATTTGATTAATGTCATACTACCTCAGGGTTCTTGTTTTCTGTTTCTTTGTTGTGTATTCTGAGGACTGCTATGGTACACCCTGGATAGATGTGGCTCTTCATTGTCAGAGGAAGAAAACTTAATATGTCAATACCACTAAATTGAAATGGCAGTGTCTGTCTTTTCATATTCATATCAGCTTCAGTGTCATTTCATCAGTGTTGTTTCACAAACTTCTTCCTCTCTTTTCCTTACATATCACATGTCCAGATTGTATCTTTAGGGTATGAGAATAGTTTTAGTGGCAAGGATAAAAGCGATTTCAAGAATACTACCAAAAATAAAAGCTGGTATTTGGGCATACACAGTTGTCTTCCCTGTTTTCCCCGTACTTTCTCCCTCTCCCCTCTCCTTTGTCTCCTTACCTCTCGTTTCCCTGTCTCTCAGATGTATGCACACACACACACACACACACACACACACACAGAGAGAGAGGGAGAGAGAGAGAGAGAGAGAAAGAATGAATTATGAATGCCTTAGAGTTCATGACTTCTCTTAAACTGCATGTATCCCAACCTGTGTGCATCTTAAACTGGCAGTCTCTGAACTGAGCAACATATATCCTTTACCTTTAACCTTGAGAGGTACATAAAGGCTTTCCAGGGGGTTATATAGTTAAGGATAGTTTAAGAGTGTTAATTCTCAGGTTGTCAACTTGCATGTTTTCATTCCTAAAATTGATCTTCCTCAGAGTGTGCTGAACTAGACATCTTTCTGCTTTCCTCTTTAGCAATTGTCCCTCTCTCTGACAAATATGGGGATACCTTATCTGACCTAAATCTTGATAGTGGTGTTTAAAAAGTGAATGACTCTAATGACTGAGTAGTTAACTCTTTTGTAAAATTGGTGAGTTTCAGTTGCTTTAAAAGATAATTGCAGAAGGACCAAATTGAGTTATCAGCTGATCATTAAAAATAATTTTTGAAGCATACCCCTATGTGATTTTTGGTCTATAACTTAGGAGTTCACACAAATGATTATTGCTATAGCCAGAAATCGTTACACTCCCAAATGTTTGGAATGGAAGAATACAACATATAAAAATAGAATTAACCTGAATTCCATTTCTTTCTAGCAATAAGTAATATTTATTTTTGGGTACATGGCCTCATGAGGGAGGGGGCAGAAGGTCCTGTCCATTTTTTTTTATGACATGCATTTCCAATAAAAGCTTTTTATATTTTATTGGCCAGGCACCGTGGCTCATGCCTGTAAACCCAGCACTTTGGGAGGCTGAGATGGGCCAATCACCTAAGGTCAGGACTTCAAGACAAGCCTGGCCAACATAGCGAAACTCTGTTTCTACTAAAATACAAAATTTATCCAGACATGGTGGCTCCCACCTGTAGTTCCCAGCCACCTGGGGAGGCTGAGGCACTAGAATTGCTTGAACTCAGGAGGCAGAGGCCGCAGTGAACTGAGATTGCACCACTGCACTCCAGCCTGGGTGACAGAGTGAGACTGTGTCTCAAAAAGAAAAGAAATCCTTTTTATATTTTATAATAATTACAATTTGTTATATGTTTAATACTCATGAAAAGTGTTCTGGTAATCTAATGAGGACACAGTATTAGAACTTATGTTCTTGGAAATTTTAAAATTTACTTTTTTTGTTGTAGGGGAGTATAAGAGGGTGATCAATTTAAAATATTTTGAAACACTAAAATATATTATGTTGGGATAAGCTTATGTGGAGGAAGTGAGATGGAAATATGAATTCAAGGAAAAGAGGCATGATATTGAGTTCCCAGTTGCTAAAGGAGAGCTTGTTCATATAATTTTCAAAAAGATGGATGATGATAGATTTTAAATTACTATGGCATTTACATTTCATTTATAAAAGAAATTATGACTTTGACTCCAGCAGACAGTTTTGTCCTGGACATACAATCTGTGCTTCACCAAGAACTTTTTGACTTAAAAGTGTTTGCCATCAATAGGAATTGGTTGCTGACAGAGCTTTTTTTTTTCCAAAATAAAACATGAGTGCCATAATTGTCTGCACAATGACAAAATGCAGTGATTTTCTGGCAGAAACATGGTAAAGAAAAATTAATGGTCCTAGAAAGCCTTTGACATGAAGAATCACAGGGAGAAGAAATATGAGAGCAACCAACAGGAGAACAGCAACAGAGAAGGTTGGTAGATTGTACAGAGAAGACTCAGTAGAGGGAATCCTATAATTCTTATTAAATGAAGTAAGAGAAACCCTCCTCTGAGGCTTTGTAGTTATACTCTTTTGCTATTTGAGATATGAATTTGTTCATTTATTCAACATTTGGCAATTATTGAGCACCTATCATGTGCCAGACACTGTTTTAGGCACTGGGATGAAATAGGCAAGATGACTTTTTTAAAGTACAAGGATGTAAAACCTATTAGAGAAACCAGTCACATTGACAAAGAACTGTGTGAAATTTAACATGATAAGAAATTCCCTTTCATTTATTTTTTGCCAATAGTTTCTATATGTGCCTATAAAGAAAAAAAAGTCCTTTTTTTCCTACTTAAAATGAGAAGAGAAGAATAAATAAATCGTTTTGAGGCTTTCATTTACATTGTAAAAATCAGGAAGACAAAGCAATGATTCAGAGGAGAGCCATTTTATAAAGCTACAAATAAATAATAATGAAAGGATGACATTAAAGTTCATTAAGGTCTATAGAAAGAAGTTAAGCTACATTTTTCAAATAGATTGTGTAGCAAAGAAGAAAGAAAATGTCCAAACCCACAAATCACACAATACAAAAGCGAAATTTTTGATTTAGTGTGATGGTTAATTTTATGTGTCGACTTGACTGTGTGCCTGGGCTGCCCATGTATTTGGTTAAACATTATTTTTGGGATATCTTTGAGTGTCTCTAGATAAGATTAGCATTTGAATAGTAGATGGAGTAAAGCAGATTCTCTCCACATTGTGAGTGGGCAGCATCATCCAATCCACTGAGGGCCTGAATGTAACCAAAGGTAGATGAAGGGAGAATTCGTGCTCTCTCTGCTTGAACATTTAAGCTGGGACATAAGTTTTCTGCCTGTGGACTAGAACTTATAGCATTGGCTCTTCTGTTTTGCAAGCCTTTGGACTTATACTGAACTATACCACTGATTCTCCTGGTTCTCTAGCTTATATATGACAGATCATGGGAGTTTATCTCCATAATCACATGGGCCAATTGTATATATATTATATATAGTTGTATATATATTATATATAGTTGGCATGTATGTATTATATATATATTTCCATACACACACACATATATATAGCTGTGCATCCTATTGGTTCTGTTTCTCTACAGAACTCTGACTAATATACTTTGTACTAATTACAAAATTAGATCTAATTTTCTAAAGTAAAGACTTTGAATTGCCTATGAATCAGTACTCAAGTGATTCTTAAGTCTCCCTCAAAAATTTGTTATTTATTCACTGAAATTACCTTATTAATTATTTGCTCTTGATAGTCATTCTATGTCATTCCCTTTTGGCTTTAGTAATCCCTTCCCTCATCCCACAGTCAAATCTGTTCACCTAGTTTTATAGGTTTTACTCCTTAGCTATCTGAACTATTGCAGTAGTTTTCGTTTAAAATTCTTTTTTCTTCCGACACATTCTTTATATTCATTTCAAAGTGATCTTTAAAAACTGTAAATGTTATCATTATACTTCTCCTAAATTCCTGAAATGACTCCTTAACATTTTTTAAAAGGACCTTTTTAATATAGCTGGCCTGTTTCTCCACTAGCTTTTATAAATGCTGCCAACGTAGGCACTGAAATTGGATATCTTTACACACTTACACGATTTTCATTCAAGTGACTCTGATTATTCTTTTACAGTATTTAATTTCTTAGATTATCATTGATATTATAAAAATAATTGTCAAATTCTCAGAGAACTAGGATTTTCTAGTAGAGCTACCGTAACTTGACAAAAATATGCATGAGAATGTCTTTGATTTCATGGGTAAAAATTAGCTTGAATTGAAGAAAAGAGAAAAAGGACTAGGGAAAAATATGTATCTTGACATTAAATGAATTATCAGAATACTTCATAATCCTTGCTTTGTAAAGATAAATTAGCAACAAAAAAAGTTTGAAAGTTTATAAAGGATTTTCATCCTTACAAAAACTGTAGAACAAGTTATTCATTGTTTTTTTAGGAGACAAAAAACTATAGAGCAATCAGGAAATTATCAACTATAAAATGTAGCATTAGGCGTATTTATGTGATATATTCATGAAACATTACCTTACATAAGAGGTAATTAAAGATAATGTCTTTTTTCACCCTACACATCGTAAATTATGATCATCCCATCTTTTCTTGGCTAAACTTTTGAAAACTTAAATATTATAATTCATAATTTCATTTGGTCACTTCTCATGTTTTAATAAGAAATTTTAGAAAAAATTAGAAATCAATGAAATTTACTTGTTTTGCTAACAGGATGATATGTTTAAAACCAAATATATCAGTAATTACATTAAATGTAAGTAGACTACTCAGGACAAAGATGTCATTTTGGATTAAGAAAAATAATTGTGTACTAATTATAAGAGATACATGGGAAAGAGTGAAGGAACAGAAAATATTAATAATGCATACATTAAAGTAGCTTGGTATAATTATAGTAAGATGAAACAAAGCAGATTTTCAGGAAAAAAAGTGTTACTTCCACCAGAAGATAAGACAATTCTGTTTATATGTATCTAAAGAAACAGCCTCATAAGAAATGAAGTAAAAATTGATGGAACTAAGGGACAAATCTAAAGTAGATTTTAATATACCTCCCTCAGTAACTGATAGAATAAACAGGAAAATAATGCATTAGGAAAAGAGATGACTGTAATTAAAATGATTTGCATCACAGCTACTAGGATGGCTATTATTAAAGCAAACAAACAAACAAACAAAACAGAAAATAAGTATCCTAAAACTCGTATGGCATGTCAAGGGACCCCAAATAGCCATAGCAATCTTGAGGGAAAAAAAAAAAAGCAGGAGGAGGACTCACACTTTCTGATTTCAGATATTACTACCAAGCTACAGTAATCAAAAGAGTACGGTACTGGCATAAAGACAGACATATAGACCAATAGAAGTAGAATAGAGGGCCCAGGAAACTTATTTATGTTTCATATGTACCTAACACACATAGCCCAAATGTAATTTTAGCAATTTTAGCCTATGTGTGTTAGGCACATATGAAACACAAATACATTTTGTGTTTAGGCTTGGGTCCCATCCTCAGGATGTATTTTTATGTATATACAGATATTCTAAAATCAAAAAAAGATCAGAAATCGGATATGCTGTGGTCTCAAGCATTTTGAATAAGGGATATTTAACTAGTACTGGCATAAAGACAGACACACAAACCAATGGAACAGAATGGAGAGCCCAGAAATAAACCTACACACTATGGTAAAATTGTCTTCAACAGAGATTCCAGAACTATGTAATAGGTAAAGGATAGTCTCTTCAACAAGTAGCCTTGAGAAAACTGGATATCCACATGCAAAATAATGAAATTGGACCTTTATCTTACACCATACACAAAATCGATTCAAAATAGATTAAATGAAGCATATGAAAAATATAAGGAATTAAACTATAAAACTCTAGAAGAAAACATAGGGGAAGAACTTCATAACATTGGTCTTGGTGATGATTTCTTGGATATGACACCAAAAGCACAGGAATGAAAGCAAAAATAAACAAGTGGGACTATATCAAACTAAAAAGTATCTGCACAGCGAAAGAAACAACAGACTGAAAAGGAAACCTATGGAATGGAAGAAAGTATTTGCAAACCATGCATCTGATAGGGGATTAATATCAAGAATATATAAGAAATTCATACAATGTAATATCAAAAAGAAAAAAAACCTGATTAAAAATGACAAAGGACTTGATTACACATTTTTCTAGAGAAGATGTACAGATGGCAAGGTTATGTGAAAAGAGACTCAACATCACTAATCATCAGGGAAATGTAAATCAAAAACAATGAGCTGTCCCCTCTTACCTGTTAGGATGGCTATAATTTTTTTTTAAAGGTAGAAAATAAGTGTTGTTTAGGATGTGGAGAAATTGGCATCCTAGTGCACTGTTGGTGGGAATGTAAAAGGGTGCAGCTGCTGTGGAAAATGTTATAGAGGTTTTCCCCGGATTAAAAGTGGAACTGCCTTGTAATCCAGGAATCCTACTTCAAAGGTATTTATCCAAACTAATTAA